TTTTTGTATGTTCAAAAAATATGACTTGTTACCTTGTTTGCAGAAAGGCTCAGGCTCTTTAGGAGTATATTCAATAAATCTTGGTCGGATATTTAATACTTTCATCTCTCCTGGCCTAATAAAAATAAATAATATGTTATTTGCAGTTTATTATTAGTTATAATTATATTGTAGTAAAGTTAGCAAGAATGGTTAACAAGAATCAAAACACATGTACACATGTGTACGCTATGCTAATTATTTGAATATTTACCATCTTGGCGCTTGAAGTTTTCTTTCTTCATTAAAAGCAAACAAATTGCGTGGTTCTCTTAGCTTGGGTACCTTAGAATATATCCACTGACAATTAACTGCATCTTATGATAAAACACAGATAGTTATTGTAATTATTTTTATTAGAATCATATCACAATTTGACTGTTTGACACAACATATGACTGATATTTTTGATTTAAGAAAGTGTTCAAGTGCTTTTCCACTTCCACGGTGTTTATATCAGAAGACAGAGACACAAGCGGCTGTTTTWTATTTCTTTTATAAAATTATTATGCGATTTTCGAGCAAAAAACAAATTTTGCCGGTAWRCCATGTCTCTGTCCTCTGATATAAACWSAGTCATCAGCCAATCAGAGTGTGTGTTATATATCAAAAATATTATAAATACTTGTAAAGTATACCTTTTTCCCTCCCTTGTAGCTATAAATAATTTGGGTAGTCCTTTGCTCTTCTTCAAAAAGTTTGTAATCTAGAAACAAAAGCCCTGTTATTAATCATAAAACTTTGAGGAGTGTTCATACATTTATGAATAGAGCGGATTTCGTATGAGTGGGAAACGAACAGTACTGTACTGTGACCGTAATCGTACTGTAATCAAATTCTAGTGCCCCATTGGTTCACCAAAATTGTGAAGGCCAGGTCCGGTAACTGTGCGGTAACGGTGTCCCACTGATACGAAAAATCTGCTCGACTACTAGTCTATGGAAATCACTAAAACTAGTGTTAGAACTAGTGTTAAAACTAAAGGTTAGTTGATTCTGTACCACATGATCAGTTCTTTGGTATACCATGCAACCATCTCCAAAGCAACTGAGCAGAAACTGCACAAGTGATTTCCACAGTATATGACTGTGTACCATTGATGACAACAAAATCATTCTTTATACCTGAAATGTCAACAGACTTAAGCCTTCCTGGTGGGCATGCATGTGCTCCATCACATTCCTGTTCACTCTCTGAAGACAATGTGATACCTTTGTGCTTCATTCATGTAGTTCTTTAATGTCTTGAGATTCTACAACCCAACATTTATGGGCAATTTACTCAACAATGTCTAAAATATTACTGCAAGTTGGTCTAAAATAACCATCTGTGTAAAGTTATGCCTGACTYTTATAGTAACTGTATATAGATATAGTCAAAATGTTTGTAAAGGACTCAAAGCAGGACTCAATATCTATATTGCTGCGCAGTTGGAATTGGCAATCCATTGTCACACTATCAAAAGAGATAAATAAGCTTAAATAATAATACAATTAATCGTATTAATAATATATGAGCCTTAAACTTCAGTTTTTTCACTATCATTTGATGCATTATCTAGAGTTTTCGTTATCGTTTTAATCATCAATTAACTTAAGTTACTTACATTTGTAAGATATAAGTTATAAGGTAAGCTTATAAGTTAAGTTATAACTTAATTAAGTTAAGCTTACTTTAATAATAAAGCTTAAAGTTTCTAGAGCGATGCAAAAAAATCAAAAATCAAAAGCCTTGATTATAAACTTACTTAAGCTTATTTAACTTAAAAGTTACTTGAACGAGTTCAATGAATCCCAACATAGTTTGAATCACAAACGGCTGACTTGCCATCTATCGCAAAGATATTGCCACRACAAACTAGACACATATTGAGATCAACTTACAATAGAATCATATTTCTAAATGTGACTTTTTTCTTGAGAATTACTTCAAATAACGAGTTTTTCCAAGAACTTTCTTTTTGATTCGCCATATTTAATCATTGTAAACATACACCAGTGAGATACATGACAACCAACCGAAATGGATCATGGGATTTACGTTTTGACCAATCATGTTACATCATTCTAATTTGGCGGGAAATTTACTGAGATGGCGCCGAATATTAAACTTCGAAGTTGTACATCTTTCTCTAATTTGCTCTCACAACGGATAGCAATGATATATTATGCTGATTTTCAGCGCAACCATAGCGCAATATTTGGACATTTTTAACTCTGAGATTGCGTTATTACCAATAAGACCACAGGCAACCCAAGCAGACCATACAAAAAATTKTTTTTAATAAAATCATCTTACCTTGATATCATGTGTTCTTGATGTTATTTAACATTGCTGTGTGTGGTTTTGAAGGGATTTAGACCTGTAGTCTTTTACTACTGAGGGTGATATTTTTTATAAAATAGGTCTAAATMCCTTCAAAACCACACACAGCAATGTTAAATAACATCAAGAACACATGATATCAAGGTAAGATGATTTTATTAAAAAAAWTTTTTTGTATGCTCTGCTTGGGTTGCCTGTGATATGACCAATAATGCTGTTGTTGGAGGTGGGCAAATCTGTCACTYGCCTACTTTCATTTTACCTGATCCTACGTTGCTACGTTGCTTTTGAWGGGCGTTAATATTTTAATCTATTCAATTAATTACCGTTCTCTGCAAAGATGACATGATTATAAACTTGAAGATTCAAGTGGTTTGAAGGGCCTTTGAAGGAYCCMCCCCCCTTGAAGGGTTAGAAGSCAAGAAATAATAGCAAAATAAAGGAATGGAAAGAGGATGAAGGGACCATGCAGTAGTTAAGATGCCAAATATCTAGGGATTCCATTTACCTGAATTCAAAGAAATCAAATTCAGTTGCTTGTTTTGTTAATAAGTTAATAAATTTACTTTTCAATTCCTGAGATAGTTCCYGTTTATGCTGAAAGCATGCATGTATTCACTATTGCTCCATGACATGGAATCTGGAATCCTGGAAAAATCTAAGCTCTGCAATCTAGAAACCGAGTCAATGGAGTATTCATAAGATAAAATGAAATCTGCAATATTCTAGTCAAAACTTTTATTTGTAAAAATACTTTGTACATGGTGCTTTTTTGTGTTTTATTTACAATCACAATCACGTATGAATAAAGCCTGCATCATTTTAACTGAAATATTCTGCTCAGTGTCCAGTTGACTACATAATTTTGCAAATATTGTATTGATATTGTAATTTTGATATATTATGTAAGATTGTACTGCATTGTATAGAAACATGTATATATAGAAACATTCATAGATTAATTAAAAATAAGAATAGGTAGTCTCTAGAACAAACTTTGTTCCACCACACCTATTAGCATATTCAATATACATAATATCTAATAGTCTATATTGTTTGCAGTACATTGAATTGACTATAGTTCAACATTTAGTTCAACATTTGAAAGTTTAATATGTGTGCTGTGTGGATGCTGTCTCATTTTGATGATTTTGTTTGTTCTGTTGTATTTTAGATAAATATTTTTGTACTTGTGCAGGCATCATTGGATTTCAAAAATATTTCAATTTAGCAAACTTTTGTTGTGTAAAATATAAAATTCATACGAGAACACACTCTCAAGTTCAAATGATTAAAAATATTTTCAGGTATTCCAAATTACTAGCTTACAGTCTCCCTCTTTCTTTCTTGTAGTGTTGCTGATATGCTCTTCAAGGTCAGCTTAGATGTTTTGGGTGTTTTCATTGTTTGAACRGCACCAATCAGATGCTTGGAGGCAGCTAACAAGCGATACCTCTGTAATAAATTACGAGCGCGCACATGTTCATTGAGAATGCTTTCTGTATAATTAGCAGGAAACCAACCACAAATCCCATCACAAAGTCTTTCACCATAATGCCAGCCTAAAGAAAGAAGTTACCATTTTGTTAAAACATGAGTGAAAGTACWGMTTTTGATACAGTTGTGTCTTCAGAGAAAATTATTAGGTTTAGAAATAACTGCAGTACTTGTTGCAAATAGAGTACCATACACTAGAAAACATGCCTCAAYGAGTTTGACTTAGAGCAATATCACCACTAGCTTAGCAACACCATCCTCACAACATGCACTGGTAGTTTGGTTACAAATGTCTGTATAGCCAATCTCCCMCTGACAAACATTGATGAGCAACTTTGCAATATACTTCCAATCAATACTGTAGAAGGCCTYATTTGGACTTTGGTTGAATTCCATAATTATTCAGTTGAACTTATAAAAATGTGTAAGGTAAATATTGTTTTCTTTGYTAATGTTTGAAAAAAGCTGAATGTCACAAAAGGGAGTATAAAACGGTAACCCTCATTTTAAATTCCGAGCCCGAGCCTTTGGCTGAACAAGTCCGATATTTCATCAATTGCGAGAATCGCAACTTCTGAGACAACAACATTCATATACCGATACAAAACAAGACAAAAGATAATGCAGGACTTAAAAATTTACCATCAGGCAGTTTGCGTTGCACATTAATGACATCACCCTCATGCAATGCTAATTCATCAGGTTGTTGTGGAGTATAATTGTGAAYAGCTTGTACTTGAGGACAGTCTGGAGAAAAAACATTCACATCATCGTCATATTGGTAAATATAATTGCTATCATGATGACTGTACTAATTAGCAGCAAAACAAAACAAACAAAAGACAACGCCCACTGAATTAAAATTTGGATCACAGGAAAAAGGATCCAGAAGTACTTGCTTTTGTAGGCATTGAACACCAGGTCACTACTAGGCTATGTAAACAGAGTTGTGGTGTTTGTCATGTCTAAGATTCATTTAATATAACAAGTAGCTAATAGCCGAGTTTAGATATTTTGGTTCAGTGACCATGCACAAAAGAATTGCAGACRAGGCTCCGGGGAAATAAAGAATAAATCAAGATTATCCATTCATAATTATATTTTTTTTAATATTGCAAAGAGTTATTTTGAAGTGCACGCTTCAAAATGACCAATCAAAGAGCGTATAATATCGTTTTATTCTTTATTTCCCCGGAGCCTCGTCTGCAATTCTTTTGTGCATGGTCACTGAACCAAAATATCTAAACTCGGCTATTATACCCCCAAATGCATTATCATAATATGAATTGTACATCTTAAATGGGTGACATCTTATTGAAATTTGAAATTAAGAAGCTAAGACTGTAGGAATTCTACGAACTGAAGTTTTTTTTCAGAATATCTCTTCAAATATCTTGACACCTAAAAATGTAGTGAAGATTCACTAAAATGGTCTGAAACTTTTGCTAATTCCATAACGGATCATGTACACAACTATTAGCTATAGTAGGGTTATTAATAAGTGAGCCCTTACAACAGTTATCACATATACAAACCACTCTAGATCAACATGTGTAGAATCATCTTTACTATTGTATGTTGGGCAATTTTAGTGTTTGTACACTGTATATCTTTATTAAATATTCCTAACTGATACATCAATGATGTCATATAGTGAACTCACCCCAGTCCCCATATACTTTTTCCCCTTCTCTTTCAGCTTTTGGAGGATTAAATGCCTCGAGCCATCGTGTTTTATCAGTTCTACAGCAAAAAGTACTCAGTTTGAATTAAGTTAATTAACACCATCTAAACAATTGAAGGGATCAGCTGCATCCAAAATAGGGAAGGTTTCTTATCCATTAGCCAGATAGACCTTTATCACCTATCAAAACTTCCAACATCCTCCCAGCCTATAACAGCCCTTGTTATCCCTTACAATCAATATTGGCTCAACCCACTTACTCGCTTTCGGCACATAACAAGAAGTCTTTAGTTTTGTTGTTACAATTCTCTAGCAAGATTAGTGAAAGCATGTGTTCCAGCTGAATTGAAGTGTCTGTGGATTCTTCTACTTTGGTCATGTTACGAAAGGCATAGTCTAGAACTCTGTAACGACTTTCACTGGAAAATACAATTATGCAGTTTTAAATTAATCTWAAGGATAAAATTAAGAAACTGTATGACTGTGCAGTTGTAGAGTAGCTGTAGACAGACTAAAAAAAGCTTTTAAACATAGATTATTTCAAGTTCTGTAGTTCTATTTGACCTACCCCTTTTTCTTGGTTATGAGCAACAGGTCATTGAAGAGGAACATGTACACTGGTTTTAACTTAAGCTTCTTTTTACTGATTGGGGATTTAAGCTGTTCAATCACCAGCACTACCTCACCACGACGAAGAAGCCATCTGTTTGATGAAACTAATGCAATAGGCTGAAAGTAAAATCATTAATTTGAATTCATAACAAATATGACAAATGAATGAGAATAAAAAACACTGTCTGACATTACACACTTGCTAACGAGTAATAGTTAAAATGAGAACATCAACTTTTGGTCTTCCTCTTTATGAACAGTAGCTAAGACTTTTAAGTTTAAAAACTTACTTTGCCTGTAAATTCAATCTGTGGACGGAGTGCAAGCATTTCTTCCATACGTTCCATCTTACGGGCTCCTTCATTGCAGTCGCGAACAACCTAAAAAGCAAAAAAAAATAAGTTTGCTGTTCTAGTTCCCCTGTGAACCTTACAAACAAGTAAAAGAAACATAGTCTGTGTTAAATACTAAAGGATATGCTTCCCCTGAAGCTGTGTACATGCAGTAAAAATTAAAAAAAGTGCAGAAATGATTTACCTTATGAACAGCTTTAAGGGCTGCATCAGTTTTCATGAATTCTTCACTCCCTGCTTCACAACGATGACAAATAGCCTGTACAACAGAACAGATTCATTACCTTTAAAATTGTACCTTTGTAAAACGTAATCCATAAAATTAGTTATTAGTCTAATCAGGGATACATATTTGGCCATGTGATCATCTTAAGTATCATATGATAGAAAACAATGATCATAAAATAGCCCAAATAGAGTGTCA